CAGCCCTGCACCTTGTTGTCTCGGATTCTCCAGCATCTGCAGTTCCTACTATCTTTGATCCAGTTTTCAGTCCGGTTTCAGTTACCCAAGTCCTGAGGTTGCAGTTCTTATCATGAGGGAGAAATTCCTGCAGGAGGCGAACATGAGACTACAGCTAATTGAATAAAACAAATCAGAGCAATATAAAACAGGCAAATACCTATTCAATGAACAAATTAGAGATTGTATAGAATGCATGCAGCACTTAAGTATTTAAACATATCATTCTGTATAAAGATGTTGTAGTTTATATAAAACGATGACCCCGACGTGATTCGAACACGCAGCCTTCTGATCTGGAGTCAGACGCGCTACCGTTGCGCCACGAGGTCTGAAGAACCAGCTTTGGGAAATCTTCATAAAGCTGCAGTTTGCAGTGCACTTTCTGCTGCTAATTCTGCTTCGAACCTGTTTGGTCCTGGGACTGACGGTGGCCCAGGCCCTAGCCCGAGATACCTGCTTCCCGGGGTCGCCCCCACCCAGAGCGTGCGCCCACTCGGGACCCATCCCCCACACCCGGGGTGAGGGGGCCCTTGTGAAACTGCAGCACCACCTTCTGGGCGGGAGTGGGAATGGCAGCCAATACCGTCTACTGCCACCAGAGGGTTGGGGAAGGTTAGGTGTCCCTTCAGCTGTTACACCTCGTCCTGCTCCTGATATCGAAACTTCTCATTACCTCCGCTTTGTTATAAAGCTTCATCGAGAATGCTGATATTTGTTGCCTGTCACTAATTGAACAGTCTCCTTTAGCTGCTGCATCTGTAGCGATTGTAACGAATTCAGCCAGGTGGAGCTTTTTTTGATTTGATTTATTATTGTCACGTACCTAGGTAGGTACAGGTAAAATTTTGTTTTGCAAGCTGGCTCTGAGAAAGCTGGATCAGTGTAAAGATTTCTCCACGTGCAAATAAAGGGTGACTTGGTGACGGGATAGCGGCCTCTGTGGAATGGCGATTATTGGCTCCCCATGATAGAGCTGCTCTCATCCTTTTAACTTGCAGGTCAAGTGAATACTATCCTGAGTTTTGGCACAATTCTTCAGTTATTCTCATCCTGAGAGGATTTGTGATTTTGGTCCCACTTCTCACCTCCATGTAGTGGATGGCGGGAGACTGATCACTCAGGAGGCAAGCTCTGTCTCTGAAGACGCCAATGAGAGATATGATAGCATCTGGAGAGGGTGCAGAGGGGATTTACCAGGAAGTTGCCTGGACTAGAAAGTTTCAGTTATGAAGAGAGATTGGACAGACTGTGGTTGTTTACCTTGAAACAGAGGAAATTGAGAAGGGAGATGATTGAGATGTATAAAATTATGAGGGGCATAGACAGGGTGGATGGGAATAAACATCTCCCCTTGGTGGAGCGATCAATGACCCAGGGCACAGATTTATGTTAAGGGTCAAAAGACTTTGAGGAGATGAGGGTGGTCAGAATCTGGAACACACTGCCTGTAAGAGGCAGTAACCCTCATAACATTTAAGGTGCAGTTTCATAGTTCATTGAAAGTGGAATCACAGGTGGACGGGGTGGTGAAGGAGGCATTTGGCATGCTTGCTTTTATTGGTCAGTGTAGGAGTTGGGATGTCATATTGCGGCTATACAGGCCACTATTGGAAAATTGCGTGCAATTCTGGTCTCCCTGCTATAGGAAGGATGTTGCGAAACTTGAAAGGGTTTGGAAAAGATTTACAAGGATATTGCCAGGGTTGGAGGCTTTGAGCAAAAGGGAGAGGCTGAATAGGCTGGGGCTGTTTTCCCTGGATTGTCAAAGGCTGAGGGGTGACCTTACAAAGGTTTGTAAAACCAAGAGAGACATGAATATGGTGAATAGCAAACTTTTTTTTCCAAGGTTAGGTGAGTCCAAAACTAGAGGGCATAGGCTTAAAGTGAGAGGGGAAAGATTTAAAAGGGACCTGAGAAGCAACATTTTCACATGGAATGTAGTGCGTATATGGAATGAGCTGCCAGAGGAAGTGGTGGAGGCTTTGGGGTTACAGTGAATTTTGACTACAGAGAGCAGAGACACCAATCCTGAGCTGGGGAAGAACTGAACACTTTTCTTTCTCTGTAACTTGTTCCCAACTCAAAAGCTGCTCAGTTACCTGAGAACCAATGACGCAGTTGTTGCCAGGCAGTAAGGTCCCTGTCATTGATCACTAGTCCATAGTGTAGTCAACTTCTTATTGCTGTATCTGTACACCCTCTTGGCTCTGAATTGTCTGTAACTCAATATTTAATTAATGCTTCTTCAAGCAGTTGATTACACAATGCCTGTAATGGGTGTTACGTAACTTGCTTTCAAGATATATATCCACCTTTTCAAACACTGATTTTTAAAATAACATTTTCTCATTTCAGACCACAGTTTTTTAAAATCACAAAAAGCACAGCCCTGACAATAACAAATAATTGAGACTCTAGGACTAATCCTTGTGGCAATCTCGTGGTTATTTCTTTCCAACCTGAAACAGACCTGTTAATCTGTGTCTTCTATGTATTAATTAATGTTTAATCCATTGCCAAAACATTACCCCCCCAATACTGTGAGCTCCTATCTTGTGTGATAACCTTTTATGTGGCACCTTATTCAATGTCTTCTAGAAATCCAAACGTATTACTTCTACTGTGCCCCCACCCCTTTATCAACTCTGTTTGTCATATCCTCAAAGAACCCAAATGTATTAAGCATGATTTCTCTTGTTTAAAACCATATTGACTCTGTTTGATTGTATTAAGCCTCTCTAGATGGTCTGCTGTTTCTTCCTAATGGATTCTGGCATTTCCCAATGGCAGATGTCAGGTTCTAGGAAAAGGGCTGTTACATTAGTGGTTTTCCAATCCACTAGATCCCTTCTAGTATCGGTGAATTCTGGAATATTTGGATCAATCCTTCCACTATCTCTGCAGTCACTTCCTTTAAAACCCCTGGAATCAGGCCATCAGGTCCTGGCAAATTGTGGTAGAAAGTGTTACAAGATCTTTTCCACTTTAGAAATTTGTCTTCCATGTTACACATGCCAATTTGATTTGACCGGTCAGTATGCAGGTTAAAATCACCAAGGACAATTTAGTGCCTTTCTTGCACACCTCCGTTATTTCCCAATTTATACTTTGTCCTACAGTGAGGAACATGTTCAACATCCTATAAATGATTCCCACCCATGACTTCTTTCCTTTACTATTCTTTATTTCCACCCAAACTGTTTCCACATCATGATCTATTGCACCTATATCATTACTTATCACTGCACAGATATGTACTATTCTTTGTTAACAAAACTACCCCACCTCCTTTTACTTTATGCCTATTTCTGGAATGTTGAATATCGAGTTCCCAGTCCTGGTCACCCTTTAACCATGTCTCTGTTATAGCTATTAAGTGATATTCATTTATTTCTATTTGCACATAATATATGCCTCTTCATACCCTGCACCTCTGTCTCTCATTTCTTTCAGATTTTTTAAACTTTCCTTCCACATCCACCCATCTCCACCCACCCAGTAGAACAGCTCTCCTTTTCCCCAATGCCTCATGAATCAGAACAGATTTCTCCCACACCAATCTTTGAGCCTTGTATTTATGTCTCTAATCTTATTTACCTTACACCAATTTGCATGTGGCTCAGGTAGTAATCAGAAATTATTGCCTTGGTGGTTCTGCTTTCCAATTTGGCCCAAGCTGCTCATAATCCCTTAATATAATCTCTTTCCTAGTTCTACCTATGTTGTTGATACCTAGGTGGACCAAGACAGTTGGATACTTTCCCTTTCACTCTGAGGTTCTGTCCAGCCCAGGAGAAATGTCCTGAACCTTGGTACCAAGTAGGCAACACAACTTTCTGGACTCTCTGTCTTTGTTCTAGAGAATAGAATTCCTGTAACAATGCTATCCCCTATTATTGCTACATTTCCCTTTCCCCCAACTAGAAAGATGTTCTGGATCATGGTACTGTGGTCAGTTCACCCATTCCCCCTTAAGTCCATGTCCTTGTCCACACCAGGAGCAAGAACCTCATACCAATTAGTCAAGAGTACCGGCTGAGGTTTCTTCAAAGACAAATTTTGGATCCCTTGTACTTATCTCACTCACAGTCACACTCTGTTGTCTTGACCACAGCCCAAATTTGATGTCATTAATCTAAGGAGTGAGACTGCTTCTTGAAACACAGTTTCCCGATATGCCTTATTCTCCCTGATGTCTGCTTTTGTGGGGTTGGGCTAAAAGTTTTGCTCAAGTCCATTCAGAATCAAATGAGCTACCCAGATCAACTCGCCTTGTTACATCTTCAAAAAATTGATTCAATTTAGTCAGATACAAACTTTCCAAACAAGCCCACGGCGATAGTCCCTTATCTGGGTCTTTCTAAATAACCTTTTTTCCAATAATTCACCCACTGCTGGGAGTTAGACTGATTGGGGTGGAATTACTCACTTTATCCCTCCCTCACTTTTTAAACATGGTCAGCAATCCTCCAGCACTGAACCAAAGCTGAGAGAATTGGAAAATTACGGTTGTTTTTTTCCCTCCTTCGCTTCTTTTGTCCTGGAATAGATTTCACTTGGGCCTGATAATTTATGTACTTTCATGGATGCTAAAGACCTTAACATTCTCCCTTCCCTACATTTATCCCACTTACTGTTTCACAATTCTCCTTAACTACAATGTCTGCATTGTTCCTCTATCTTGAGAGAGAAATGTAAAATTTAATTAAGAACTGTACCCAAATATCACACTTCCTCACAGTTTTAAACTTGAGGTCTATATTGTTGGGGGTATTAATAGTTATGGAGCCGAGTCAGGTACATGGAGTTAGCATTCAGATCACCTGTAAGCTTGTAGAATGACAGAAAGGTTATGCAGAGTGGGATGAGCTTCTCCCAATCTGACATTCTTTCGTGTTCCACCCAATATGTAAAAACAGAATAAAGATAGGCCCAGACATTTGTACAATAATTGCACTTTACTGACACATTGTAACTGCAAAATGTTTCACTGGTTATCATTGGTTATCTTGCCCATTGCTGAATGAAACATAAACAGGTTACAAAGATTCTATTCAGTCGTGTTTCTCCATTAATGAGAATGGGCAGAATACTATCGTGCCCAGCAGGATGAATACAGTCCATCGTCATCAGTGATGTCTCTTGGACAGGCATATTTAACTAAAGAATGTAGTGAGACAGGAGGTGAATGTACGAAGCATCAGACTCCAGCATAGAAACAGTGGTGAAATAGTACAATCAAAATTATGGAGATTTCAATCATTTCTTTCACACTGGGATAGTAGTGAGTATTATACATTTGGAAATGTACAACCACGCAATTAAAAAGTTAAACCGTTCTATACAAATATTCTAAACACAGCAATTAAGGATTAATGTACACACAGTCCTGATCCCACAGCAGGTAGGAGCTGTTCATTAACTGCATGCTGCAGCATAAATGCCTGAGTGCTCTTTCTTCAGGGATGTACAGAGTCATCAGTAATCGAGCTGACACAGGCAGGCCACTCCTCTGATGACCCAGTGATTTTGAGGCTGTTCTGATGGGAACTCAATTGTCAGGACATAGTTGGTGGAATGACCGGTGGTGGAGAGAATCCCTCTTCGAACACTTGTCTTGTAAACTGTGGAACAGAAACAAAATCAGTCAGGTTGCTTATAGATACATAGAGTCATGCAGCACGGAAACAGACTGTATCCAGCCTATCCTTACAACTCAAAACCTCCAGTCCCAGCAACATCCATGTAAATCTTTTCTGAATGCTCTCCAATTTAATAATATCCTTCCCATAGCAGGGTGACCAGCATTGTACACAATATTGCAGAAGAGGCCTCACCAATGTCCTGTATAACATCAACATGACATCCCAACTCCTATACTCAGTGGTCTGAGCAATGAAGGCAAGCATGCTAAATGCCTTCATAACCACTCTGTCTACCTGTGATGCAGCTTTTAAAGAACTATGTACCTGAACCCCTAGGTCTATCTGTTCAACAACACTACCCAAGGCCCTGCCTTTAACTGAATAAGTCCTACCAGTCCTGAAGAAGGGTGATACACAAAACATTGACTTCTCTTTTCCTCCAGATGCTGCCTGGCTTGCTGTGTTCTTCCAGTCTCCTGTTTGTTTACCTAAGTCCTACCCTTGTTTGTTTTACCTTGCATTTATCCAAATTAAACTCCATCTGCCACTCCTTAGCCCACTGGTCTAATTGATCAAGATCTCTTTATAATCTTAGATACCCTTCTTCATTGTCAACTATAGCAACAATTTTGGTGTCATCTACAAACCTATTAACCATGCCTCCTAAATTTTCATCCAAATCGTTCATATACGTGACTAACAAAAGTGGACCCATCACAGATCCCTGCAGAACACCGTTGGTCACAGGCCTCCAGTCTGAAAAACAACTCTCTACCAACACCCTCTGTCTCCTACCGTCAAACCAATTTTGTATCCAATTGGCAAGCTCTTCCTGAATCCCATGTGATTTAACTTCACTAATTAGTCTACCATGTGGAATCTTGTCAAAGGCCTTCACTAAAGTCCATGTAGACAACAATTTCCCACACACAAAGTCATGCTGACTATCCTTAATCAGTCCTTGCCTCTCCAAACACGTGTAAATTGTATCTCTCAGAATCTTCTCCAACATCCTTCCCACCACCGATGTCAGACTCACAGATCTGTAGTTCCTGGACTTCTCCTTACAGCCTTTCTTAAATAAAGGCACAACATTAGCCACACTCCAGTCCTCCAGCACCTCACCTGTGGCTGTAGATGATACAAATATCTCTGCTAGTAGCCCTGTAATTTCTTCCCTAACTTCCCACAATGTCCCGGGATATACTTGATGAGGTCCTGGAGAGTTATCTACCTTTATATTTTTTAAAACCTCTTTCTCTTCTGTAATGTGGACTGTTTTCAAGACATCAATATTTATTTCCCCAAGTTCCCTAGCCTCCATTTCTTTCTCAACAGTAAAAACTGACGTGAAATATTCATTCAGTATCTCTCTCATTTGCTGTGGTTTCACACGTAGACGATCTTGTTGATCTTTTGATGAGCCCTATTCTCTCCCTAGTTGCTCTTTTGGTCTTATTATACTTGTAGAATCTCTTTAAAGCATCATATGGATTCTAACACCATCTGAGCTTGGAGAAACAGTCTTTGTGACTATTTATGTCATAGTTCTACAAACAATTGGGTTTTCCTCAATTGAATATGAAAAGACAATATTCTCTCTTTGTATAATTAGTGATGGGGTGTCATCAATATAACTTGCATATTTTAGGGAAAATTAAATAATTGCTTCAAATTTTATTGTGGAAAGAATAGGACAGTGGGATTAATACAGTATCAGAGAGAAAGAATGCAATAGTCGGATAAGGTTGGGATTGATACAGGGCTATGGGAAAAAACTGCGGCACTGGGATTAGGTTGGGATTAATATGGGGCTATGAGGAGAGAGTGAGACAGTAGGATTAGTTTTGGGCTGATACAGAGCCAAAGGGAGAAAGTGGGGCAGTGGGATTAGTTTGGCACTGATACAGGGGTATGGGGATAGACTGGGAGGGAATGGAATTCATACTGAACTGCCTAGTACAGAGGCAGTGTAGATATATTTGGTAGACTCTCCATCATCCTGAGTTATAAAGTCTTGATATTTCTCTGTTAACATTGTACAGGTATCATACAATCTCAAACAAATACAGCCTTGCTCTCTCTCCTTCAATTATCTGAAGTAATTATTTGCACCCTGTTCCCAAATTTTGTATCATGTCACTTGACTGTTTGCAAGCTCAGTGTCCTATTTGCCCACGAACCTCTAATTTCACATTTTTTCCATCGCTCAGATTTCCCTGTTCATCTTCACCTGTGACTTTGTTACCACATACATTCCCCCTCTTCAACCTTTCATAACTGTAAGCTCATTCAGAACTCTGCTGTCAGTTGTCCTGATGTCAACTGCATTCACCTGTCAGTCCTATGGGTTCTCTGGTCTACAGTTCATTAATGCCTCAAATTTAACATTGATTTTCTTATGATTAATCCTGAATTACACACAAATTTGAAGTATTCTATATGTTTTAAGGGAAGATAATGGTATAGTGGTAATGTATTTGGTAATTCAAAAACCTAGATTAATAATATTAATGTGAACCTGCAATTTGTAACTGAAAGCTAGTCTCAGTAATGGTGATGTGAAACCATTATTGATTGTTGGTAAGAACACATCTGGCTCACTAATGTCCTTCAGGAAAGGAAGTCGCCACCTGGTCTGGCCTATATGTGACTCCAGACCCACAGCAATGTGGTGATTCTTACCTGCTTCCTGAAATGACCTGGCAAGTCACTCAGTTCAAGGGCAATCTGTGATGAGCAACAAGTGCTGTCCTTGCCAGTGATGGCCATACCCCATAAGGAAACAATGGCTTCATATCTCCTAAACTCAACTACATCTTACACTCCTACCCAGAATTGTCAGCCATGCCTCCAGCCATTTAAGCCCCATGCTTTGAACTCTATAATCCCCTGCCTGTCCCTCACAGCTCTAATGACCATCTTTAGAAGCCACCCTGGTCCTTTGACCAGGCCTTTGGTCACCTGCCTATAACCTCCTCCTTCGGCTCAGCCCATGTTTTTATTAAGTTGCACTGCTTTCAATATTTGACCATTTTTCTCCATTAGAACATTTATTTAAGAGGTGAAGTCCCACTGTTTGTGGAAAACCTCGCAAACAGTGAAATTACACAAACAGGAAACACTAGATAGGTTCCCACTCTCCAAAATGTTAATATCCACAGCCCTCAGTACAAGATAAGATTCACTAGACACATCTTTTAAGAATTAAATGTAGATACGTCACTGGAGAAGTAGTGCAATAAACTAAAAAACGAGAAACAAAAATTAACCCCATGTTCTCTGGGTCAGAGCGGCTTATTTTGATCTTGCTCATTGTTCCATTGCTTTCTGTTTCTGTACAAACACTAAATCACTCTGCTAAGTCAAGCCAACATTTAAGCTGAAAGAGTGTGTTCTCAGCATATCCCGAATGACTGCGTGTAAGAAGTGAATTCACTGCCATTATGAAAACAAACTAGGGAGCCAGGTCACATGAACAGAAGTGAACTGAAAATCTAAGTTTTGCTGATGAATTCTTAAAGAGGTTTATAAAAAGTCCCATGACACCACGAACTAGACAATGAACACAGGCATATCCCAATCTCAGAAATACAGAACCACTTGAGAACAACAACATCCACCTCTAAGCTTTTCTTCAGTGGGTTTTCATTCTTTTGTGACATGATGTTTATATTTCCTAAAATAGGTGAACATTGACACTGCGATGGGTAATATGGTCACATTTAGTGAAGATGTGAACAATGGGTCTTAACTATAAAAGGATGTTGTTGTCTATAAATGGGTTGCTATTTTGGCACAATCTTTGAGACAGAGGATTGGATTAAAAGCAAAAATGCATCTTTTTACCTGGACATCCATAAACAGATTCTTCTTTAAATGATAATTTTTCACCTGGCTTGAGCCATATCTGATTGAACTAGTTAAGACAGCAAAGGAATTATCATATTCAAGAGGCGCTAACAATCCAGAGTCAGTCACATTGTGCAATTCCAATGTTAGACTCAATACTTACTCTTCTAATGGCCATCTTTGACCCACCCCTCACTTATGCTGCCTAGTATATTCAGGTCAATCCCACAGCAACTGCGATGAAATGTACAAAATCGACCCGGTGAATTTCACTTGACAAAGTCTCGTCATTCTCTGACAGGAAGTGGGAACTATTTTGACTTTCAGTGACCAATTAATACAGCGTTCCGACTTTGCCCATTGTGGGGCTGACCTGACTATTCCTCTTGCAGCGGTATTTGCATTTGGCTGGTGAGTTGTACGAAGCCAAACAGATTTTCCAAGCACAACTTCCCAAATTCTGCCATGAGGATTGGGCTGTATTTGGGGCAGGGATTGCCAAAGTGCATAGTTTGGTCCCAGGGCAGCAGTGGCTTAAACTATTTCTGTGGAACCTGAAGTTTCTCTAGTATTGTTTACACATATAAGTGACTTGCGTAACTTTAGCTGAGCATCTTCAAATCCATTGCTCATGGAACAATCTGACCATTTACTTCATAAGATCTCGATATCCATAAGTGCCATGGCTGTGCAGGCTTTGACATCAAGGCAGGGTTTATCAGAGTGCCAGGCAATGGTGGACACCTCCACCAACAGAGAATCTATTCATTTTCCCTTGACATTCAGTGGAATTACCATCTACCATCAACATCCTGGGGGGTTACCAATAACCAGAAACTCTATTGGACCAGGCACACAAATACAAGAGCAGTGTGGAGGCCTGGTATTGTGTGGTTGTTGGGTTAGAAGGTGCATGCCTGTCGTGTGTACCTTTGTAAATAGATGTTTATAGTAGATACAGATTAATACCGGTTCTATTCTTCACCACATCAGGCTTTCTAGGTTTATAAACAAAAACAGGAATTGCTGGAAATGTTCAGCAGGTCTGGCAACATCTGTGAAGAGGAATCAGAGTTAATGCTTTGGGTCCAGTGATCCTTCCTCAGAACAATTCACAGCTGCAGCCAGACCAGCTGAGCTTTTCCAGCAATTCCTGTTTTTGCTTATGATTTATACAGCATCCACATTTCTTTCGGTTTCTAGATTTATAACATGGTAGTAAAGGATGACTGCCTAAATGTAATGATTGTAAATAAACTAAACATTCTTAGACAGTAAACCACAATCCTAGTGGCCTCATGGAAAATGCCAGAAAGCAAGTGTAAATTGCCAGGTATGATTATCCTCTAATGGAATCTGAACCATGTGACCAGTGGAAGTAGGTGGATATTATGGACTAGGGTTACATGTCTAGAAAAGAGGGAACAAGTTATAGTTTTACACTGTCGCTTTCTACAGAAGAAGAGTTTTCTGCCACTCTCCCACCCTTGCAGGCAGTGGGCTCCAGCTTCCCACCAACCTTTGAGTGAAAATGTCTTTCCTCACATTTCCTCTAAACCTTCTGCCCGTTACCTTAAATCTATGTCCCCTGGTCATTGACCTCTCCACCAAGAAGAAAAGTTTCTTCCCATCTACTCTGTCTATGCCTCTCATAATTTTACAAATCTTAATTATGTCCCTCTCAGTCTCCACTGCTCTAAGAAAAAACTCCAGGCTGTCCAATCTCTCTTTATAACTAAAACTCTCCAGTTTAGGCAATATCCTTGTAAATCTCCTCTGCACTCTCTCCAGTGCTATCACATCCTTCCTATAATGTGGTTTCCAGGACTGTGCACAATATTCAAGCTGTGGCCTAACCATTGTTTTAGGCCCGAAACGTCACTTTTCCTGCTCCTCCGATGCTGCTTGGCCTGCTGTGTTCATCCAGCTTTACACCTTGTTATCTCACCTTTTATTGTGTTGGAATACTGTCTAACAGCACTCAACAGGCTTGAAATCTACAATCCAGGACAGAGCTGCTGCTTGTCTTGCACTCCTTTCACTGGCTTAAATTTTCAGACTGAATAATTGGGGAAAGGTGATAATGACTGGTTTTGTCAGCCATACTGATGAATGAAGATGAAAGTTGGTACATTGAAAGCCTTGTCTTAACTGAACTCTGTGAAACATTTACAAACATGCTTAAAACAATCAAAGGTCAGGATACAATTGGTAGATTGTCATAGAGAACTTTGGAAAGTGATTCTCCAATCTTGTGTTTCTTCCGATCCCATTTCGCACCCTCCATGTAAAGACCATTAACATAAACTCCATCAACCTAAAGTGAAAAATAAAGCAATGATGTGTATCCATATTTACAAAGCGAACATTTTGGTAGGAGTAATAGTAAAAAGGATTATTACTTGAATGGTAAAAAGTTGCAGCATGCTGCTATGCAGAGGGACCTGGGTGTCCTTGTGCATGAATCACAGAA